ACAAGACTACAAGACTACAAGACTACAAGACTACAAGACTACAAGACTACAAGACTACAAGACTACAAGACTACAAGACTACAAGACTACAAGACTACAAGACTACAAGACTACAAGACTACAAGACTACAAGACTACAAGACTACAAGACTACAAGACTACAAGACTACAAGACTACAAGACTACAAGACTACAAGACTACAAGACTACAAGACTACAAGACTACAATACTACAAGACTACAAGACTACAAGACTACAAGACTACAAGACTACAAGACTACAAGTTAGTGCTCTAAATTTAGATCAGCACATCCTCATGTGGGACATTTCTTTTAATAATTATGATCAAACCAACACACAAAAGCAATTATAATTATGAGGGGCGTGGGGGGGTACATATTGTGTTCTAATTTAAATATTATTGCTTTACCAGCAATATTATTGCTTTACTGCATATTTATTTGTCACGATTATGAGTCCACCTTATGAGTCCACCTATCTATTGCTTGAAATTGTTTTTTATCGCCAAATTTCGGCTGCTTTCTGACAAAATGTGTTCTTAAAAGCTTAAAGACTATTTTAATCCAATTTATTTTTAGGGTCACCGGTTACGTGACCCGGTCACGTGATCAAAAACTATTAAAACCCGGCCTCCAGGAACCTTATAATAATCAAAAAGGAAAATGTAATAAAAGTCCTTAAACATATTTGTGAGTACTTTTGTCAAATAAAACTGCACATTTGACCTTTGAAAAAATTCCAACTCAGATCAAATCAGATAAAATATGCAGAAACCACTGACGTTTCCTTATAGAATCCCACTAAAAAATGAGTAGCATTAACAAACAGAAAATTAAGTATGCGTTATAAACACTGTACATGTAATTATGTTTCTCTATTCAGAAATATGATCGCTCACGAGCTCATTGGTAGAGTTATACTACAGCATAGTAACATGTGGAGTCCACATGTGGACATATTATATTTTTTCCGTTTATTTTCCTTCTTTTTACGCGGCAACCGTTTGCGGAAAAAGACTAAAGATGTTTCCATTAAAACTTTTCATGAAAAAATAAGCATACACGTGATCGGTAATTACACAGCATACAAAGAAACTAGTACAAAACAACATGAGTAATACTAATAGTATAATATATAATATTAATAGTGTAACCAAACAAAGATTTACAATTATAAAAGGCATAAAATTAAACCTAAATTATTGGGGAGGAGATGACGGATTTTCAAAAGAATACTCACTAAATATGTGTCACAATCATCAGTATAGATTAGAGATGGGTTGATACACACATGACACGTGGATAGTCACGTGACACATATCATGTCAAGTGGATAGTCACATATTATAGCCATGCGACATTTGTGCAGCTGCGGATATCCATAAGTTCATACGTAGATATTCGTATAAACGGTGTGGACTATTTCGTGCAGATAAAGGTGTGGACTATTTCGTGCAGATAAAGGTGTTAACTATTTCGTACAGATAAAGGTGATGAAGTAGAAGGAGCGATATAGTCCCACGTATAGATAGACCTCTTGGGATACCGTGTGCAGTTTAAACAGTGCCTTTAAAACTTGGATACGGTGAACAAATAACAGTTATTTTTACTAGTTATTTAGTAAAGTTAACATCACTTTGAACATAAAATGTCATCAATTTGTAATAAAACTATAAAATTAACTAAGTGACAAACACAACGCATCCTTTGTCTAGATCTTGTTTATCATATTATTGAATTTATCATATCCTATTATTGTCCCCACGTGCTATATCCCTCTTGGAATACTGTGCAGCAGGAGGGGGGGGGGGGGGTGTCTCCGTTTATCAACTGTTATAATAACAGTCCTATTATAACTGACAATTATCTTGTATACAGTTACCTCCATTGCCATGGTAAATAGTAGTCGGTACCTCCATTGCCATGGTAACTTTATATTACTGGGATCGTGTTACGTTATCATTAATTGTGAGGTAAAGCTGATATTGTGCAATGTGAGATGTAGTAAATATTATTATAAAGGGTCTCAATAAGAGGTCTCGACTGCCTAGGCGTCAAACCTTGGCAGTCGGTAGTTTTCCTCTGGCCCGGGATCAGCTGACCCTAGGGACCAGAGGGTAAAGGTGTAGAGACTATGTGTATCTACAAATCTTTCGAGGTTGTTTTTACAAGAGACAGGGCTTGCTACGCAAGGGAAGAAAACCGGGAGAAACAATCACAAATTATACAAATAAATATTATAAAACCTAGAAAAAAGAAATTCAAACAATCCTACACTACTACAAATGTTTATTACATACTACAGTGTAATACACGATAAATAAATGCTGTATAATCAAGAAACAGGGCTTGCAGGGCAAGGGACGGAACACAGGAACTGGTTACAGAGTGTATAAAACAGTGATTCAGCAAGTACCCATTGGGTATTGCTGAATCTGACCCACAAAATACCACAATCAATACAAGAATATACAATATAACAAACATCATGTTTATACAAGAATCAGGGCATGCAGAGCAAGAGAAGAAAAATAAGAGAAAAACTCCAACACATGTATACCCCTTAGTCCAGAAAATAACAATAATTACTTGTACACAAAACTGTATAATATAAAATACATAACAAATACACAGTCTACCCAATATACGAGTTAAAAATTGTATAAACAAGAAACAGGGCTTGCATAGCAAGGGAAGAGATATAAGAGGACCAGGTAAAAAGTGTTTATTACAGTATCCAGTGAAGAATAAACTAAATATAGAGTATCTACAGTGTAATATACTCTCAATAATATCATATGTCTAAGACCATCCTGAGAATTCTGGCTGATCCAAGCAAAGCTGTCTTCTGGAGATTAGAGATGCTCAGATTGCAGTGGACTGCGTCGAGGTGTTTACGAAAGTTAATGGTGATAGTTCCTAATGCGCCTATCACCACAGGGACGATTGTGACCTTTCGTAAATTCCAGTTCTTCTTAATTTCTCTTTTTAGGTCTTGATATTTCAGTATCTTTTCTTGTTCTCTATCCAGGATCCGGGTATCTCCTGGGACTGCAACGTCAATGATGATTGCTGCGTTGGTTACCTTGTCTACCAGGAGGAGATCCGGTCTGCAGTGTTCGATAACGTGGTCCGACTGGACATGGAAGTCCCACAATATCTTGACTTTTTCGTTCTCCAGCACCTTCTCTGCCCGTATTCCTTGCACAGACTCCAGTGCAATGCGGCAGCTACTTTGTCATGCCGACACTTATATTCTGTCTGTGAAAGTTTTGGGCACCCATTCAGTATGTGGTCTATTGTCTCGTAATGATTTCTGCAGAGTCTGCAGAGGGGAGAAGAGCCAGGTGTTTTGTCAATCCTGTGCTTCACATAATTAGTCCTAAGTGCTTGGTCTTGGGCTGCTATCAACAATCCTTCTGTCTCCTTCTTCAAGTCTTGTTGAGTGAGCCAGTTCCAAGAGGTTAACGGGTCCGCTATACCCATCATCTGCCTTGGGAACTGTCCGTGCATCACTTTAGCAGTCCACTTCTCCTTGCGGATTTCCTCGCGTTGTGTTCGGTCGATATCTTTCTCTATCTCTTCACCCAAGAGTATCTTGTCTTTGACAAAGTAGTCCTTCAGAGCAATCAGTTCTGGGTCTCTACTTCTCACCACATAAGTGGTGAGTGTATTCTCCTCTCTCTTTACGACTTCCTCTATACTATGTAGCCCACGGCCACCCAGTTGACGGCTTACGTATAACCGATCAACATCTCCTTGGGGGTGGTGAGCTCCATTTATCCTCATCAGTTTCCTGGTCTTGACATCTAAGGCTTTGGTCTCTCCAGCATTCCATGAGAGAATTCCAGCTCCATATCTTATCACAGGTACAGCCCAGGTGTTAATTGCTTGTATACTATTCCTGCCATGAAGCTGGGATTTAAAAACCTTTTTAACTCTTCTGATATACTCTTTTGTAACCAGTGCTTTCATCTCTTTGTGTAGTATATCATTGGCTTCTAGTATTCCCAGATACTTATAGCCCTCGTCCTCCAACTCATGGATCTGTTCACCTGTGGGTAGGGAGATGCCTTCGAAAACGGCTCTTGCTCCCTTCTTCACCTTCACCACGGCACATTTCTCTAGCCCGAATTCCATTTTTATGTCACTGCTGAACTCTGCTGTGGTATTAACCAGTGTTTGCATTTCGTCTTCACTCTCGGCATACAACTTGAGGTCGTCCATGTATAGCCTATGCGACACTTTTGGTCCATCTTTTCTGTCCAGAGAATATCCTATATCATGCTTATTCAAAAGAATGGACAGGGGTATAAGACTAATGATAAAGTGAATAGGTGATACTGAGTCTCCTTGGAATAGACCTCTATTAATTTTAATTCTCCCAAGGAAAACTTTACCAAGCATCAGGTTAACATACGGTTGTTTGAAGGAGGCTTCAAACAGGTCTATGATGGATGAAGAGATACCACACATGGTCAAACAAGACAGAATCCAGGAGTGTGGGACGCTATCATACGCCTTCTTGTAGTCTATAAACGTCATGTTCAGGTTCCGCTTCCTTCGTTTACAGTTCTATTATTATTATAATTAATATTATTATATCGAGTCTTAATAAGAGGTCTCGACTGCCTAGACATCAAATCTTGGCGATCGGTAATTTTCCACTAGCCCGGAGTCAGCTGACCCTAGGGACCAGAGGATAAAGGCGTAGAGACTGTGTGTATAACTATATACTTATATACAATTGTTATTATTATTACTTTTGAGGGTCATCCATCAACCACCTCACTAATAGTATCCAGAAAAGATTAGTTGAAGTGAGGTCTGCTCAAGCTGATCAGACCTATAGTGATATTACTAACACAAACGATTCAAGGAAAATGTTTGAAGCAGTAAGACATCTTCAGAAAAGTAAACCACCTAATAACTCGATTGGTGTCCATGATGAAAATGGCTGTTTGATTGCATCTGACGACATGAAAGCTTTTGTTGTTAGAGACTATCTCGAAAAACAGCTGACTCGCAATGAGCAACCTCTCGAGCCTTTTGAGGGTCTACCACGTGCTCTCAATGTCCCTTTTACTGGAGTTGAAATACATGCAGCCACCTCTAGCTTGAAAAATGGGAGGGCAAATGGTCCCGATGGAATACCCAACGAGCTAATTAAGTACTCTAATAGTACAGTCCATGAAAATTATGCTGGAATCATCAACAGTTGTTTCGAGACACATACTTTCCCCATTTCCATTGGAGAGGCTACTATAACACCCTTACAGAAGCCAAAAAAACCTATTGGTCCTCTGAAGAATTTACGTCCACTCACCTTGTCCAATGCAGCCAGAAAAATTCTGTCTATGGCTACTCTTAAAAGGATAGAAGAAAAAGTGAACGCCTTCACTGGTCCATGGCAGTGTGCATATAAACGCGCTCGTTCTTGTGCTGATATTGTTTGGTGTCAGCGAGTTGTCCAAAGGAAGAAATGGGAGTATCATCGCATGGGCATTGATATGTCTAGTGCGTTTGACACGATCAAACGCACTACGATTCTTGAACTCCTGAAACTGTGTGGCTGTACTGAGGATGAGCTGAGGATTGTCCGGTTGTTGTTGTCCAACACAAAGCTACGGGTGAAGGTAAATGGAGTTCTTTCAGCTGAGTTTTTAAGTCTCCTTGGAGCTTTCCAAGGTGACTGTCTATCCGGCTGTCTGTTCACCCTAGTCTTGGCTGGTGCTTTGAATGAACTTAGATGGACTATAACAATCAGTTTAGATAGGCCGATCCCCCCGATTACTATTGCTGGCCTTCCACTTGACACTGAATATGCTGATGATGTTGACTTCAATGATGAAGAGGAAGACAACTTGAGAGGTATTTTGCCCCAGGCAACAGCTATACTCGAGAAATGGAACCTCTTTGTCAATGAAGACAAAACGGACTTCACTCATGTTTATTTAGCTAGTACGGGTGAAGTCGACAGTGATGGAAAATTAGTGTCGGGGAATGAAGCATGGAGGAAAAGTATCACTCTAGGGTCCGTCTTCTGTAGCAAAGCTGATATTCAGCGTCGCATAAACCTGGGATATGCTGCCTTTAACAATTACAAGAAGGCCTGGAGTGATAAACTGCCCCTAAACAAACGTCTAATACTGTATAATGCTTTAGTCGTATCGGTTCTTATGTACAACTCATCCTGTTGGGCCGTCCCCAAAATATTCCTTGAAAAACTAGATGTTGTTCACCGCAGACATCTTCGCACTATTTTGAATATAAGGTACCCAGGAGTCATCTCCAACAAAAACTTGTATAAAGCTGCAATGGTGAACCATTGTCAGAAAAAGTGGCCCGTAGTCGGTGGAGAATGTTAGGACATGTTTTGCGGGAACCTATTGACGGACCAGCGTTTTCTTCCCTCGCTTTTGCCATCAATACACTGGACTTACCAGGGAGAAGAGGAAGACCCCAAAGCAATCTTTTCTCGCTGATTGTGCATGATTTATGTAAAAGAAATCTTTATTTGAATAATATCTTTGACCTGCATTATCTCCGTAATTTGAGTTATGACAAGAGATATTGGCGGAAATTGCAATGAAGTTTTTAATTTTTAGTTTTTGTTTTAGGGAAAGATTAGACTCGGGCGTTGTTTTTTAACTATCCCTTGTTTAGAACTTTGATTTAATAAATAATTACTTTAGTAATAACTAGAAAGCCCGTGGTCACAGGGAGGAAGGTAATAGTATTCTTTCGTAGTAAGTTTTTATCGCATCTAAAAATATCCGTCACAACCGAAGACACAGCCGATTAAAATGTTGCTCGCACTAAACACATCTGGGGCAGCTCTAAACCAATCATCAACAGCTGAAGTTGAAATTTACGGAATGCTATTTTGTGTCAATGTCTATCACTAAACTGGGAGTTTCAATGACGGACCTAAAATATCAGACTGTTAATTGGTCCGGCGGAGCTCTAAACCAATCATCTCGAGGAATGTAAACAAACTTTCTGTCTTTTCTCAAAAATGGTCTTTTCTCAATGGTATTTTTCATTGCAAATTCAATGAAGCTCTAGGTCATTCGTGTGCTTGATTACTTGATTCTATTATATTATTATATCCAATCTATAGCTCTATTTCCGGTAATCTGTTCTGTCCTACCTTTAGAGCTTTAGCTCATACCTACTTTTTCTGATGAATACCAGTCTCGGTCCGGAAATCCATGTACCTCTGAACATTCGAATCGAATGTAAAACACGTTCAACACAACGTAATTACCACAAAACCGATCAAAATGGCGCTCGCAAATCTTTGTGCGTGCATGTGCGTGTAACTGTAACAATCCTCGTTACCATGGTAACTATGCAACCTTTTGCTTTTTACCTAATTTGCACGTGGGCGGTCGTACAGACAGACATTCTACATACAGAAATAGTTCTTTGAATTATAGTATTGACTAGAAAACCCGTGGTCACAGGGAGGAAGCTAATAGTATTCTTTGTTGGTAAGTTTAAATGGCGTCAAAAACTATCCTACACATGAACCGAAGATACAGCCAATTAAAATGTTGCTCGTACTAAGCACAGCGTTATATCAACAAAACTGATCGAAATGACGTTAAAACAACCATTGCACGTGCACGTGCGTGTAATAATCCTCGTTACCATGGTTACTATGCAACTTCCTATTTTTCGCCTAATTTGCACGTGGGCGGTCGTACAGACAGACATACAGAAATAATTTTCTGAATTATAGTAGAGATAGTTCATTTGGTACAAAATTCCCTGCAGTTAGCAGCAGTTATCAACAGTTAGCAGCAGTTAACAGCAGTTAGCAGCAGTTATCAACAGTTAGCAACAGTTAGCAGTAGTTAGCAACAGTTAGCAACAGTTAGCAGCAGTTAGCAGCAGTTAGCAGCAGTTAGCAGCAGTTAGCAGCAGTTAGCAACAGTTAGCAGCAGTTAGCAGCAGTTAGCAGCAGTTATCAACAGTTAGCAACAGTTAGCAGCAGTTAGCAGCAGTTAGCAACAGTTAGCAGCAGTTAGCAGCAGTTAGCAGCAGTTATCAGCAGTTAGCAGCAGTTAGCAGCAGTTAGCAGCAGTTAGCAGCAGTTAGCAGCAGTTAGCAGCAGTTTCTTTGCACTTTGGTCCTCCTGTGTACAGGATGGAAAAGATTGTTAAATTAGTTTAGTGATTCAGCTGAGAACTTAGTTATACTGCGGAAGAACGGTTACAATTAAAGTTTGGTAACGCGCGTGATTAAGAGATCTTTCCGTATGGGACATTTCTATTGTCAGGGAATTCTTGGTTGTGGATCTAACCTTGAAAGAGTAATTACTACACTAGTAGAGGCTCTTACGGGCAAAAAGACGTGTTTTCTGCTACGAGTTTAGAGACCTAACCGCTAATTGGACACAATAGTATGATGTCTAAGGATCGATAATATGTTAAGAAGTATAAATTTGGACTTATTAGTCACGTGCTATACCAATGCGCGTTTTAAACTTTGACAGTCTATTACTCTAAGGCAAATAGAGTAATTATATTCATATTTTGTCAGCAATAAGATCACATTATTTTCTATTTAGTGTGAAAATATGAGCTAGAACGGACATAATCTCGCTGAGTTATAGCTGTTTGAAATTTATGATGAACGCGCGGGTGCCAATTGATAACAACTAAATGCTTTTGCGCGTAGTGCGCGTCGAAAATTTGGCAAAAACGCTTGCGGAGTGACAATATTCAAACTTCGATAAAGTATATGAAGTGGGTACTTCTCGGAAAGGAAAAATTTAGGCAAACACGATGTGACTATTTTTGGGTTGATTTAATACAACTGCAAAAAATTATTCAAACTTCAAGCAAAAAAGTCAAAATTTTTACCACTTTTTTGGATTTTTACCTCAGAACAAATAGAGGGATTTGTTTTATTTTTATACAATCTTGTGCGGCTGTCTTTTAGCTATCTTTATGCAAGTTTTGCCGACATGCCAACAAAATTAACTTGCTCAAAATATCAAAAAACATGGTTTTTTGGCCTATTTTTGGCCCAAAAATCGGTTTTTTGCGATTTTACCCCAGAACAATCAGTCCAATCATCTTGAAACCACTTTCAATCGATTCTACGGTCAAAAATACGTCTAGTAAGGTGTATCTGGGGTCCCTAACGTATCGAGCAGACAATGCCCGTAAGAGCCTCTACTACACCTATTGCTCAGCTGACCTCTTTTGTAACTCAATTGAAGAATATGCGGCGAGATGATACCTACTATAAACTGCGTTTTATAGATCTGGATCGTAGAGTCCGTTCTCAAGTTGTTTTGACCATATTATAGGAAATCTAGTAACAATTACAATGTAGGAATGAATTTAACTTTTTAAATTAATGATTAAATTTAATGGCTTGATGCATATTGCATAAATCTGATGCAGCATTGGATTATCATAAACATTATTGTAAGATCCAATATACACACAGCTAATTCTAGAATTTGTCGAAAATGAAATATGCAGTATGCACGGTAAATTGAGGTGTAATAGCTGTCAGCTGTATCAACTCTAAGAATCCACCTGGTGTCACTGTCACAATATTACATATTTTAAACTAATTACAACTGGCAGGAACCCGTATAAGACTCAAAAGACTAAAATAATTATTACCTATTTAATTCTCGTTTTTGACACCACTTGGGGGTCCAAATTTAGGGCTCTAAAATCCCTATTCCTTGACCAATTTTTAATTTTTTCATGCTGATTTGGAGGCCATTAAAGCATTTGACACAGTCAAAAGAGAATGAAATAGGCCGTGAATGAATCAGAATAAGAAAAGCGAACGACCAATATAAACTGAAGTGTTTTTTTACATTATCTGGCATCCGCAGAGATATATGTTTATCTTATAAACATGTCCGCAGGCTAAGTTAATGTTATCGTCATGTCAAGGGAAGCATTACCTTACCGTAGATGTTTACTTAACGGCTAGGAAAGATTCGTAGATTCCTCTATAGACTATAACTGGGTTAACTTCCGGTTACCTGATTAAGATTTGTATGAAGTCGTTCGTCCTCCATACCATTGTCGTGAACCCCCATCATTTTCAGGATCATTTCCAGGAATTCTTTAAATTCCAGAAATCCTCCAAAAATTACAGAATGTTTAAGGACCAGCTCTTGATCCCTGAAAATCTTTTCCGGACTTGTGGCCTATTTTCAATTTTCAATTTTCTTCCTCCATCAAATTTTACTGAACGTTGCTATTTTTGCTCGAACTTCAATTATTATAATTATGTATAACATTTTGAACTTTTATCCGTTTGCATCGCTGCTGCCTTATTCATTTATTCATTCTCTCAGCAAATAATTTCAATTAGGGCAGCTGTACAGCAGGGCCTGTTTTATGGGATGAAGATTAATCACTCTACACTCGACTGTCACGTGACTTTTTAAACCCGTTCTCTAGTCGGTCCTGAATGACTATCTTATCGGACCTTATTTGGACGGATATTAAATGAACGGACATAATTATGAACGGACATTAATATGAACGCTTATAGAAGGCATTCAAAACCATTAAAAATCCGAATTTAAAAAAAATTGTTCGTGTTTTTAAAGAGTGTGAAGTGCGCACGAACCAACTATGGCTATCAGTCTTGGATAAGCGATGGATGGCACGTACTGTTTTTACCTGATATTCCAAATTTTTCTAAATATTTTAATTGCAGTACAACTATATCATTTTAATTGCAAATTTAAAATATATTCATTTTCTAGGAGAAAAGAATAAGCGAGATGGTCCATTTATTAGCAGTAATGCTAGTAGTTTCCTTATCACTCAACAAAGCTGAAGCAAACTCATGGCAAGAAAATATAGAGATAATAGACGGCACTCAGGAGTCGCCTTCCATAGATGTTAAGGATGTAGCATCTATACAGATTAAGACCACTAGTGAAATTGGCAGTGGAGACCAGATCAAGATTAAATTCCGTGGGACCGATGAGGGATTTCTTAATATCATGTTACTACAGTTTAACGACGCCATTAAGTATAAGATACATAAGATGTATATGGACACGTTCATTGAAGTTTGAGGATATTGGTAAATATTAGTGACCCTACTTAATGGCACGATGATGTAAAATGTGTCACACTATGAAACTATATAAACCCTCTAACCCTAAGATAATCGTTTCATCCTCTAGATAAACTTTGTCGCATAACGATATCTTTATCAGACGATAAGATATCGCTTAAATGCGGCCGGCAGTGAGTTGTAAACTTTGTCACACTATAAAAACGTGACGGAGTTTATATGGACCCCTTGTTGCCGTGTTTGACCAAATTTTCGAATTTCCAATTCATAGAATAGCTGTATATGACTA